TTAGAATATAATTTTCCCCCCCCCCGATCAGGGAGGAAGTGTCGCTTTCAATCTAAGTATATTTTCGGAATCGATTTTCAACGTTAGAAATATAATTTTTTACCACCGTACTAATTCCCCCCCATCAGGGAGGAAGTGTTGATACATATCAGTGTCACCTGAGATGGGTTGTTGGCAAATGAAGTCAAGGAATGCAACTCTATGCAATATTATGTAAAGCTACATAATATACAGCAGTTCTGCAGTAAGGAATCAGGAGTGCGTGCTTCCAGTGATGAGTAGCACTTTGTTTTGTAGCAGCGATGGGCAGCAAGTGGTGTGGAAGTGGTTCCGGATGCCGCTTGGCAAGTCAAAGTTAGGGTACACCGTCGCTGGGCCACTCGAGCTCCCCGTGGTGCAAAGTCACCAAACGCTTTGCTGTTACGATGCTGACTGGGCCCAACAAACGCTTGGGGCTACGCTGTAGGCTTGGAGCTCGTTACAGTAGCCATGGTTGTGGCTGGAAGTAGGGAAGCTACCGTCGTACGGCCGATTGTGGTCGGCGGCCAAGAACCGGTACTCATCCCAATTCTTTCGTCCCTAGAGGAGGATTGTTAAAGAAGAACTGGAATTGATGCAGTTCAAAGAGCAATGGCAAAGAGCAATCGGCGACCAGAGAAGGCGGCAACACTCGCCACCTCGTACGCCAACTACTACCGCAGGAAGGCTTCTACGGCAACTGCGTGTACCCCATGGAATCCAGATGACCGTCGGGACCACGCAAGGAGAAGATGTCCGCCAAGCTCTTGATAGTCATAGCCGCAGTCGCTCGACCCAAGGTGAGGCGAGCGGCGGTGGACTCTGGCCGGGAAGCGATCACGGGGCTGCTACGGAATGGGACACTGCCAACGTCGTCTCCGGCAAGGGCTTGGCTAAGAATTACTGCGGTGGAAGGTGGGATGAGGCGCCCCTATCTCGCTCGAGTGGGATGGGGCGTGAGCGGCTGTAGCGCAATGGGTGCTTGGTGCGGGCGGCGTTGACGGAGGAGATGGAAAGGGGGGCGACAGATCCGCCTAGGAGAAAAGAGGTTGCGGTGGCAGATTGCCTAGGAGAAAAACGGCTGTGGCGTGATGTCGGACAATAAGAAGGAGAGAGAGTTTCTCGGCGTCGACTGGATGGGTGCCGCAAAAGTAGCGATGGCTCTTTCTTTGGTTGATCGATTGACTTGATCGATTCTTTCTTAAAAATTTAGGACCATCGAGCTACTTTTTTTAAGGAGTAGAAGTAAATCTCTTTCTATCACAATGAAAATATATTCATGACTTATTATCAAAGATAAATATGCATAATACAAAAGAGGTTACAACTCGTGAATCACTTAAACTGTGATGACAGTCCTACTACGGACTCAACTCAATACCGACAAGTACTTGGCTCCTTACAGTACTTGGCTCTCACCCGTCCATATATCTCATTTGTAGTCAATAAATTATCTCAATACATGCACCAGCCTTCTGCTATGTATTGGTCTACGGTTAAACAAATTTTACGGTATCTTAAAGGGACCCTCAATCATGATCTTTTTCTCCATAAACATACTTTATTTCATCTTCATGCTTTTGCTGATGCTGATTGAGCAGGAAAATTTGATGACAGAACCTCCATGTTATGGTATGTCGTCTTTCTTAGGTCCAATCTAATTAGTTGGAGTTCTAAGAAGTAAAAAATAATCGCTCGGTCTACAACTAAAGCTGAATATCGTGTCATCGCTACCGCTGCTGCTCAATTGGGTTACAAATCTCCTCAAGGAACTCAAAGTCAGCTCTATCCTTACTCCTACAATATATTGTGACAATGTTAGAGCTACCTACTTATGTGTCAATCTAGTGTTCCACTCATGCATGAAATACATTGCCATCGACTTTCATTTCGTACGACATCAAGTTGTTAGACTCACTCAAAAAACCTCTAGCTTGCAAACTATTTTTGTTGCATCAGTTTAAGATCGGTATCCTTGACAAGAGCTCAATCTTATGGGGGGGGGGCATGATAACATAGAGATTTTCTCAACTGGATAGCAGAGATTTCAAGAAATCTCGTTGCTGAATTGAGAAAAATCAACCCTTTCATTTATGTATAATGAGACACCGTAAATAGCCATCATGTATAACTCAATGCATCTATTGAAAGGAGACAATTGGTTGGTGATCTTCCTGCCGTCGAACAAGTTGGTCCGCTCCAAGTAGGATGGTGGTGTTTGCATCAATTGATCGTATTATTAAAACAGTTTTTTTTTTTGCTGATGGTGGTGTCTGAGTCGGTGCGCTCCCAGTTGTTTATCTTGAACTATGTTTTTTCTTTTTTTAATGTCTTGAGCAGGATTCTGAATATTAATAAACTGATACGTAATTCTTTGTTCTTAATGTTTGAACTCGTTTTTATTATTTGCACTTGGGTGGACTCAGCTTTCGACAATATGATCTCAGTGACAAGAGACTACAATATCAATGCGGTTATATTTACTTGCCTTCGGTTACATTAGTGCATCACATGACAACTGGAGTCGAGAATGACTATTGAACATTTTTGTCAATCGAGTCATGCTACTAAAAACGAGTGGGGGAGGGGGATCATGGTTTCTTCGTTGGCAAGTGTTTTTTTTTTTTTGTGACTGGGAATCACGGTTTTGATGTGTTTGTTAAAGCATAGTTTACTATTTGCTGAACAAGGAAAAAACGAAACTAACGTGGCACCGAAGCTCCCCATTTTTTGCAAATGAGGTATGCCTTGCTTCATGACTGTTGCCGTCGGCGTCTGCGATTCAAAAGGATCTTGTCAGATCAGGGATCATACAACAGTAGATGCAATTTATATGCATCAAAATACCAAGACCGAAAGGGAAAACGGGCCCTCAAATCTGAATTGCCAATTGATGCTCCTACTGGTTCGAGACAGGTGAAGTGTTGCAGGAAAACATAAAGTTGGCTCTTCGGGCCTTTATAACAGAGTGTCAAGTGTTCATAATTTTTTTCTTCTTTTTGCAGGCTCCGACTTGCTTCCTGCCAGCATGAAAGATATGAGAGAATTAGGGAACAAGTTAGGTCTTACATCAATTTTCCCACTCAGCACCTATGGTGCAAGGACATCTAAATACTGCAATCTAGCAAAGAATCCATGCTGACGAAGAAAACCGAAAAGATAAAAGAGTTATTCTCATTAAGTATATTTAAAGCAATTTGTGGTCATCATAAAAGATCCATTCGACCAATACAAAATGACCCTCAGATACATTAGAGCAGAGTAAACATCCAGTCTGTTCAAATTGAACATGATCCATTTATAACTAAAGCATTCGATGTGGCCACATGACTATTGCAAGAAACCTCGTATCATCCAGCTAATAAGTTCTCATGACTGACAAATATTAAACACGTGGTGCCAGACATGACAAGTGCTACGATTCAACTCTACCCAAGTAAAAGGTTAAATACCTTTCCTTCTATTTTAAGTCTTGAATAGACAATTTTAATCATCTGCATAGTTCAAGACAATTGCAAAATGGTTTCACATGCAACACAACATATGGAGATGCTATGAACACCAATGCTATTTCCAAGATGAAACAGTATCCAATACTTCCAGTCTGTCAAAGACCCAAAAAATTTATAAGAAATCTTCCAGTATAAAAAAGTGTTAAGTTTTCACTTGTGTTAACCATGGTCAATAGTCTAGACTGAGAGTAGTGCCAAACCATTATCATCAATCTTATCCAACACTTGCAATATTATCTATATAAATTTCTTAAGTTTTGAAGATATATTGACCACCTACCATATTTTACATCAGTTATGGCTCTACATATATGCAGAATAACCAGACAACCTATTGAGTATTAACTTGTTTGGATGATATCCATGCACAGGTGGAATAATGCAAAACTAAAGGAAAAAACTACAAGGTAATAAATACAGTGTCCATTTTGGGTTCTTTCATCAACTTGCATATTCTCCATTCCAGCATGTATAAGTGCACACATGATATGGCAAGTGGGGTACTAAAACATGATATAATCATCGAATTTATCATATTAATTCAAGTAAGCAATTTGCTTGTAAGTTTTTTTTCAATCCTGATGAAAGTAATTATAGAAAAGTCAAAAGAATGATCAAATGAGGTGTATAAAAAGGTAAAATGTAACTAAAGGTGGCACAAATATATGCATTCATTGTTAAATATATAAATTTCAGAAAGTAATACGCATGAACAAACCTTGGCTAGGAGAATTCAGCACATTACGAGCACTCATAATCCCAGTAATTGAACCATCCTGCAAAGAAGCATAAATAAAGTAAAATAAATAATATTTTACAGTATATTCCAAGAACAATTACAGAAGCAACAACCAGTGAATACAAGTCTGCGACCATGTTGGGTCATGGAACAAAATTGTTCAGTTGGAACAAGGATGCTAAACAAGTCATGAGTTGTACCAATGAAGTATTAGAGATGCAACTGAAAGCATGGTAATATGGATGATGAGCCCACTGAGGGCTAGGATGTGTACTACTATCAAGAAGATAGGTACAAGAACTAAAGAATCATGAATGGAAATGACGAGTGATAATAACACAATTTTCAATGGTGTACAATTAGCCATCTTTTCAAGGAAATAATGAAGAATGATGACAGTGGTGCAGAATAATTTCCTAATTACAGTTGCCACTAAAGAATCATAGAAGTTGACACATTGGTGCATGCATACAATGTTTCCTTGGACCTATGGCTGAGCTTGCTTGCACATGCAGCAGTTGCACCACAATTGAAGTATTAACACTTACATACCGCATCATAGATAATTTGCTGACAACCATTATCTAGGGGTGGAACGATCAATCGGCCTGTGAACAATCCCACATGGCAAGCAAAAAAGCTTCACTTTATTAGATTTCATGCTTGAAATTATAGATCAACCTCAACAATAGGGAATGATGAAACTGAGTTGCACCGCTGTATCAAAACTTTACCTGACCGAGATCTTCTAAAATTAAGAGATTCAGATAAGGCCACAAATGACTTCTTAGCCTTATCCCTGGTAAGTGGTGATTGGTGTACCTAAGAAATGCCCAGACTATGTTTAAGTAAACACATAAAAGGAGATTTTTGCACAACTCAAATGAAAGTCGTGAAACATTTGTAGGGAAAAAGTTGTAGACCGTCAGATGGTTTTAGATAACTAAAACTTGGAACTTCTTTTCAACTATGAAGTGCATGAAATAAAAAAGGTGTCTGGACAGAACTTTTGCATGTATAACAGGACTGTCAAAATGGAAATGATTAAAAAGAATCCACATGCTTCAATACCACAGAAACTGCTTTGTTGGAAGGAAATTTATTCTTCCATTCAACCTTAGGATTCTCATATTATGTTGTACACACTATTAATGATCAAACCCAAAGTAATAATAATTTCATCTCACTCAAAGAAACTTCATAAACATATATATAGACCATATACACAACTAATATTTGGAAAATTAAAGAGTTGTAGGACCAGTGTAGATAGGTCTATATTTAGGTCAAGTCCCAGTTGAGTGACATTTCATTTTAATTTGCATGTTTTTTTAAAATATATTAGGGAGCATTAAAGTCTTATTTTGAGTTTTATTGTTTCTTAAGAATCTTAATTTTTAAAATGGGTATGTGAGTAGGGACAGAATTGTTATGCATTTAACAATCCAATATATGAAGGTTACAATGATCATGTAGGACTTTTTGGATAATATGGATTTCCTAATAAGAAAGGCCATCTCTTCTCTTCACTTTAAAATTATAAATTGATTCAATATTGTCTATAGAACCTACATATACCAAGGCCCTAGGCTGAGAACAAATAGCTTTTTATGATATTTTACTTAATAAAAGATTATACTTATTGTTCTAGCTCTCTTTGGTATCTTCTTCAGTCCCTTTTGTCTGTTTTCTGAAGTTATGTTTTTTGAGAGGAAAACCAGCTAGCAGCATTCCCTTCTTCTCTCTTCTTCTACTTTCTATTACACATGATCCCACTCCTTTTCTCCATAAGGGCCATAACTTCTTAGGTCAGAAGACTTGCAACTAAAGGCCTCATCATATAGAGTTGAAAGATTATCCTTAATCACCATTAGTCACATGCAAACTGAGTTTCAGTTCTACTAGGTCTGAAACAGGTCTTGAGTAAGGGGTAAATTACTAAGTTTTGTTTTTGTTGTAGGGTCAAGGAACAATGTTTGACAACTGTACAAGGATATAAATTACAGGTCCATGAATATACAGGAGTCATAAAAAGTAATATGGAGAAACAGATGTGCTTATAAGAAGCCTTAAGAACCAGAACTAACTTCACATAGGTGATAATCTAAATTTATAAACAAAGAGTCACTAGTGTTGGATACTTAATCTGGCGTGTGGATACCTGTAAGAGTACACAAAGGGTGAACATGAGAATCCATGCAAGATTACTATCTATCTCAAAAGAAATGGTAAACAGATGGATCAACTAAATACAACCCCCAGTTTGTCATCTTCTATAAGACAAAAAAGCAACAGTGAACTTGAGCATCACATGCATATTTGTTTATGAAATTTTATTAATTCAAAGGAGTACACAGTTTTATCTAAGCCAAAAGGAATGAAAGAAGGTAAGGACCTTTCATGGAAGTCAGAAGGGTAGATCATTGGCATAATCACTGGTCGAGGAAGAGAATAGTTATCATTTTTAATATTCTATTTTATAATTCTTAATTCATTAAGAAATTCATGACCACATTAAAAGAATCAATACCTTTTTTGACAATTTGACCCAATGTCACATGGTACATGTTTGTACATATAGCTAAATATGAACCATTCCACCTAAAAAGAGGAACAAATGTTTACCAAATGCAATACATGTCAGCACAGTAACAGTGCACATTAGAAATACCAATCATCAACTTGCATATCACCTTGAATTTAGATTTGGGTACACACGTGATCTAACTTTTTGGAACATCTAAACCACCTCAGGCAATATTTCCTATTTCTTGAGTACCACCAACTTATAATATCAAGAGTGAGCAAAATGTAAAATGTCGAAACGAAAAAAAAAACAATAGAGATACCATGATGAAAATACATCAAAAATTCTCAAAATAAAAAATCCAATATATTACCTAAGTTTGATCTAACCCTAACATAAGAAAAAACACAGCAAAAAAAGACTAGACTAGAACTCAACCACTACTTGTCCTGCATCACTTAATGATTCTCAAAAATCAAATTGCTTGAACCATATAAAGCTGGTTTTTCTGTTTATGCCTAGTTTTCAAGAGATTTTGAAGAAGCTGGTATAACTAATTTCAGAACACAAACAAGGCAGTTTACTCGTTTAGATAAGTTCCATGTTTCACAGCAACTAGATATTTTTCAAATGTATTAGAACTCAGTGATGAGAGTATTCATTTAACAACTGGTCCATATTTCAAAGAGTACGACAGTAATTAATGACAATCACGATCTAAATGACTTAAAGCTACTCACAGCAAAGTACTGTCATATTAAATACTCTTGAAAAGAGTTTTTACCAACTAAAATACAGTTTAGTAAACTCAAACATGAAACCAATGAGAGTATCAAACAAAATAAATTAAACTGATGACTTACATATGAGACTTGCCTCAACATTTTCCTCCTCCTAGAAGTATGTGATCCCTTAATTTTGTTAGACTCCTCTGCTACTGAAACTTTAGGAACCTTAAGCAGTTTAACATCAAATAGAACAAATGAGGATGATCACTAAACACTACATATTTTTTATTTTATGTTGCTAATGTTCTCAACACAAATGGTAAATAAGAAGAAAAATGGACTCAATGAAAAAAGTGGCATAAATGGCACTATATAAAAGACTTACATCTTGGTTATTCATTTTGTCCATTAACGTCTTGTAAATCATTTCCAATGATTTATCTTCACTAGAGTAATTCATGACTGGAATATCTGATTGAACTGCATATTTTGTTGAATATCTAGGAGATCCATTTGAATGACTATTATTCTCCATAGCAATGTGATCAACAGCAAGTCCATTTTGTTTTTCCAATTCCTTGGTGGCAGCATGACTCGATAAAAGCGATGACTGCAATCTGCATTTTAAAGGGTCAGCACCTACTTCCTGTTTGAATGAGTCAAAAGTACAAATCTGAGAAACATCAGTGGGATCCTGAGCAGGACTGCCAGTCGATGCATCCTTATTGTCACCTTTCACAGAGGCATGGTATTCAGAAGTATGTTTGAAACCTTTCTCCTCAGAGTTAAGATGATTTGGCTTGGTCTCTCCTGTCTCCAGCTTAGTGCTTGCAACTTCATAGTTTTTAGAAACTCTTTTGACTTTCATTTTAGATGAGAACACTGATTTGCCTTTTAAGCCCTCTGACCTAGAAACAGAAGCAGGTATGCCGAGTGTAACTCCACCACGTTTACAAGTACCACTTACATACGGATAGTTATGACCCTTAACAGCTGATGACTGCTCTTCAGTTCCAGTGGATGTAGTTTTGCCTGTTAATTTATCTTCAGCTAATGGCATCATTTCTACAGAAGCGGAGAAGTGCACAAAATCTTTTTCGCCAATGCACTCAGTACAGTCCTGATTTTGTTTCTGAATGCTATCCTTCTTTATTTCTTTTTCTTCAATAACCTTCACTAAAGGTTCCTTTTGACAGCACATGTCCATTTCTGAATCTCCAGTTAGTCCAATATCAACTGTTGAACACATCTGAGTAGTAGGATTCTCAACAGAAGGAATATTACAGTTCTTAATCTTCTCTAAGGTATTAAGACACATGCCATTTATCTCGTCTGATGAAGATTCTCCTTCATTACTTGTAGAACAATGTTTAGATATTTTGGAGTGATCAAAGCCATTTAGTTCACCTTCTACATATCTAGTTCCAACACTTCCTTCCTGCCATGTTCCGGCCTTCAATGTTCCTATGACATCAGAAATTTTCAACTTGACATCAATTTTTCCGTGAGGTGAATATGCATCTTTGTTGTCCAAATTTGTGGGAATAGGCAAACCATCTGTGTCATTTATTATTGATTTATCGGAATGGCATAGCCTTCCTGCTGTATCATCTCCCAGTTTCTCACTGTAATCAAGATGTGAAACATCTTGTAACAATGGACTATTTGAGATACTACTACGTCCCTCCTCCACTGGGTTATTACGGCCTTCAGCATCTAACTTCTGATCAACAGAAACTTGCAAATGATTAGTACTATTATTGTTAACTGAAATGAAGGAAAATAAATTACTGCATGTCTCCATTTTCCTTGAGTTGTTTGAAGATGCTTTCTTTCGCATATCTACCAGCTCCTGCTTGCTCACAGTTATTCTATATCCACCACCTTCATTCAAGTTTTTTCTAGAATACTCAACTTCTTTAGAACAAGTAAGAACCTCAGCATGATGTTCAACTGAACTAGCAGATCCAACAATATTTCCATCATTGTTGTCCATGTTATGCTTACCAAGACCCTCCATCAGATATGATGAAGACTTCTGCATTTCAGATTCTGCTGCACTCATGGAGAGATTTTTCAGATGATCACTGAAGTTTGTTGTCAAATTGTCCCCTCCAGAAGTAAAAAAATTTAAGACCCTACATATAGGAAACTCATCCAGAAGAACTGGAAATGTAGAAGCTGTTCTATTAGTTGAGTCTTTGAATGCTTCATCAAGAGAAGACAACTTTCCAGGAGAGGTTGAAGTTGATCTCTTATTAGAATATTCATCAGCATAATGATCCCAGTTATATGGAAATCCAATCAAGAAATGATTGCAGACCTGTAAATACAATGAGCTAGAAGGTTTATAGTTGACAAATTTCTTAATGCTAAACTATAGCACTAACTGCGCTGACGGCGGTTTACAAAACCAGGTCATACAAGCCTAATCTTCTCCCAGCTTCTATGTAGTTGTAGATTAATTTTGTATTTTGAATCGGTTTGAAGTCCTTCAAGATGAAGGATTTCTTTCATAACTTATAATTACATAAATAGAACACTTTTCAGAGAACATCGCAAATTCACTAATCAAACAATGGACTATCAGGACTAAATATAAGTGTCTAGCAGAATTTTCACGAATTTACCCAATTATTAGTATAGAAGCAAAAATGATCACACACCTCAAGAGGAAAACCATTATCTTGTGTACGTTCTTTGTTTATCATGCCCTGAACTACAACAGTAACGCCATCTGCTGTCTCAAGAGTATAAGCATCATTCCGTTTAATAATAGGAGCAGAACTGAATAATCTAGTTGCATGTTGCCTGCAGTAAAGTTTCATATAGTAATAAAACCATGACATTTTTAATAACAAAAAATATAACAGAGAAATATATCCTTGAAAAAACATCAAGTTGCAATAAAATGTTCACTTCCATTTTCATGCCACTGGATCAACCAATCATCTCAGTACAAAGTTAATGGCACACGCGTCAAACACAAAAGACCATTCTTCAAAAGGTAATAAAGAAAGCAACATGCAGCAGTAGATGGTGTAACCAAATGCATAAACTTAATCACACAACTATGCATGGATATTTTCTTGGGCAAATACCCAAAAAAATCCCCCGTTTTGGGCTTTTCCTGGGAAGTGCCCCCCATTTCTAGAATTCCCATCTTTTTTTGCCTAATACATGAAATACCCCTTATTTGGTAGCCAGCCCCGCCCCTTTTCCCTACAATTCCCTCCCTTTTCCTACATTTTTATATTGTGTTACACAATAAATTCAACAAGTGCTCAGGCACTCGCCCAGGCGTGCAGGCAAGGCGAGGCGAGGCAAGGCCCATGCGCCTAAACACAAGGGTTCGAGCGAGCGCCTTCAACTAGGCGCCTCTTAGACATGCGCCTGGGCCTAAACATTGGGCGGCCCAAGCACTCACCTGGCCTAGATTGACTTTAAATGAGCTTGAGTTGAACCTAAATTAACTGATTTGGTTCAACCAAGTCGGATAACAATCCCCTATCCCTTACCCACCTTTCTTCGTGTGCCATCCCTCTTCCTTAAACCTAATCGTCACAGCACTTCGTCTGCGTGCAAGGCAATGGGATCCGCTTTTCCAAGTGGGTGTGCAAGCCAATGAAAGTCGTTTATGTGCAAGCGGGCGATGCCTCCCCTTGCCAATAGTGGTATCTTCCTCTCTTTCCCTCTCCATCTTTCCATCCCTCTCCACCTTCTGTTGGTGCTAGTCCTCGTGCTCCTATCGAGTTGTCCCTCCATATCTCACGATAGTACCTCCATCTTTTGGCTCTCTCTCACGGTCGTGCTATGTTGTTCCCTCCACCTCCGACAATGTTACGCTCTCTCTCTCTCTCTCTCTCTCTCTCTCCTCCTCCTCC